TAAACATGTTATACTAAATGCTATATGATTTTCGCGAAACTGATATTCTAAAACACCCGGTAATTCATAGAGGTTAAATATGCCTTTCATTGCCTTTCAGACAATCAGTTTCAAAAGTCTTGGGACAGATGCCACAAAACCTTTGAATTTCAACAAACGTCAATCCCCCCCGCCCCCTGTTCAATGTTGTGTCCCATTTCTCGTCGGGTTTGATGTGTTTTGGTTGGAGCAACATTGATTGGAGTGTGGGGAGGGGGAAGGGGAGCGGTATTGTGTGTAAATAACTGTAGTGATCCAATTGCAATCTAAAACTACATGTGTCCCAAGAACTTCTGAAAGTGATTGTCTGGGCCCCATATGCCATAACACCATTGTATATCTCAAACGTACAGGGGATAGAATGCTCTGCAAACGAAGTATTTCTGCTCCATTTCGTTCACAGAAGATCTAATATAACATTTTAAAACAATTAAGTTCCATAAAAATTCTCAAAGTTAATAATTAACAGGATATGAATATAACTTGTTATGTCATATAGCATTTTTAATCGTTGTTCGTTTTTACAAATTTCGGCTGAGCACAAGTGGGTTATTTGAGAGGTTATATATAGTCCGTCAATATAAAGATAGGTATCGCGAATGTTTTACGCTAGAGATGTCACACTTACTGTTAATTTATAGCATAGTAATATAACATCCGGTTACTTTCGCATGCGGGTAACGGCTGAGTCAACTGCTAATTCGGGTACTCCAAAGGTAAAGGACGTTTGTTTTATAATCACTTATGGTCAATGTGACATTTTACATCTTTCTAGAGCATAATTTGCATATATAATTGTCGACGCATGGGTAGGAAGGAGCACTAAGTAGGTGGGAATGTCGGAGGCTCATGGAAAGGGGGGTAGTCACTTCCACACGACAAAAAAAAATGTCCACAAGATCGAGGTGGCGAGCTATCGGAAAGCTAGAGAAGAGTAAATGTGGCATTTAATTGAACTCATGCAGTTCCGCAGACAATCCCAAAAATTACTATTCAGCGTATTCGTACGTGGTAAAGGAAGACCCGGACTAGGTGATTTCTCCAGGGCTTATAGACCTCCCAATGCTGACGCGTTACGTTAGCGAGTACTAGCGCGACCCGCCGAAGCAAGAAAGTTGCACAGGCTTCCAAAAATATGTAACGAAAGGGACTCGCAGTATACGGCGTTGTACGCATTATAACAACACTGACGTTAGTGTTATACGCTAATTATGCTAATAAGCGTTTCCGGACGAGACGAATGCAATGAAACTAACATCGGTTGACACTTCGATTGTCACTATAGAAATATGAAATAACAGGCAACTAGACATCTTTTAAAACAGAACAAGGCTAAGAATAATCTGTTGAGAATGTCTAACAATGTATTTGCTATTAGTGAAAGGGTTTGAAATTGATTAAACCAAGTTTTGGATCGATTGACACTTTTTTACATAAATAAATCTGATGTATCATAGTGATATTTCTAGAGTTGAGTGTCAATCGATACATTTTATACAATTTATATACGTTGTGATTATGTAGAATCCATAATATATCAATAAGCGCTCCTTAAAAACCCTTGCTTAGTATTTCATGTTCTGAAAATGATTATGCCGCGACAATTGAAAGTTATATCAATGAAAATGCTATGTGTTTCAAAGTGACAATCGAGTGTCAATCGAGCACGTGTTCAAGCCGTTTTATATTACATACATGTTTTCATGTCAAATATGCACAATATTTAAGTGATCTTCGATAGCTTACCCTTGCATTTTATTTAGCATTAACCTAGGTCGATAATTAATCAGATAGACGTGTTTTGTCCCTTGCATATAGACCAGGTTTAATCGCTCGGCATACTACCCTCCCCACACTCACATCTTTCAGTATAAGCTCACTTATAATATACTGCTGGATTGTGTTACATTTCAAAGATATTGACCACAACAGAAGCACAGTAAGGACGTTACATATGCCAATGCAATTCAGTAAACATGTTATACTAAATGCTATATGATTTTCGCGAAACTGATATTCTAAAACACCCGGTAATTCATAGAGGTTAAATATGCCTTTCATTGCCTTTCAGACAATCAGTTTCAAAAGTCTTGGGACAGATGCCACAAAACCTTTGAATTTCAACAAACGACAATCCCCCCCCCGCCCCCTGTTCAATGTTGTGTCCCATTTCTTGTCGGGTTTGATGTGTTTTGGTATAAACAACATTGATTGGGGTGGGGGAGGGGGAGGGGAGCGGAGCGTTATTGTGTGTTTAAAACTGTAGTGATCCACTTACAATCTAAAACTACATGTGTCCCAACAACTTCTGAAAGTGATTGTCTGGGCCCCATATGCCATAACACCATTGTATATCTCAAACGTACAGGGGATAGAATGCTCTGCGAACGAAGTATTTTTGCTCCATTTCGTTCACAGAAGATCTAATATAACGTTTTAAAACAATTAAGTTCCATTAAAATTCTCAAAGTTAATAATTAACAGGATATGAATAGAACTTGTTATGTCATATAGCATTTTTAATCGTTGTTTGTTTTTACAAATTTCGGCAGAGCACAAGTGGGTTATTAAAGAGGTTATATATAGTCCGTCAATATAAAGATAGGTATCGCGAATGTTTTGCGCTAGAGAGGTCACACTTACTGTTAATTTATAGCATAGTAATATAACTTCCGGTTACTTTCACACGAGGGTAACGGCTGAGTCAACTGCTAATTCGGGTATTCCGAAGGTAAAGGACGTTTGCTTTATAATCACGTATGGTCAATGTGACATTTCACATCTTTCTAGAGCAGAATTTGCAGATATAATTGTCGACGCATGGGTAAGAAGGAGCACTAAGTAGGTGGGAATGCCGGAGGCTAATGGAAAGGGGAGTACTAACTTCCACACGGCAAAAGAAATTGTCCACAAGATCGAGGTGGCGAGCTATCGGAAAGCTCGTGAAGAGTAAATGTGGCATTTAATTGAACTCAGTTCCGCAGACAATCTCAAAAATTACTATTCAGCGTATTCGTACGTGGTAAAGGAAGACCCGGAGTAGGTGATTTCTCCAGGGCTTATATACCTCCCCAATGCTGACGCGTTAGCGAGTACTAGCGCGACCCGCCGAAGCAAGAAAGTTGCACAGGCTTCCAAAAATATGTAACGAAAGGGACTCGCAGTATACTGCGTTGTACGCATTAAACAACACTGACGTTAGTGTTATACGCTAATTATGCTAATAAGCGTTTCCGGACGAGACGAATGCAATGAAACTAACATCGGTCGACACTTCGATTGTCACTAGAGAAATATGAAATAACAGGCAACTAGACATCTTTTAAAACAGAACAAGGCCAAGAATAATCTGTTGAGAATGTCTAACAACGTATTTCGTCGTTTGCGGACAGTCCGACCTTGTTGACGGTTTCGGAGTACATAGTTTGATGGTAACTACGGAGTCCGTTCATTTCCACCATATGTTTCTTTCCGGGGTCGTTCATGCAGTTGACGTAGTCGTCGAATGTAAGACCACCCTTTACGATATACCCTCGAACACCCTTTGCCCTCTTTTTCTCTGATCCGTCACTCATCCTGAAGGCATACATCTTTGCTCGTATGGCACACGCGTTCTCATCATCTCATCTTCATCATCTCATCTTCATCTCCTCTCCACCCGTTTCGTTTTTCATGAAGCCGAGTTTCATTTTGTTGTCGGAAAAGTACATCGGGTGGTCTTCGTCGTAGTTGCTGTGGTCGAAGTATTTGAGATGTCACCTCTTTTAAGAATGTCTGCATCCACATCATCTGTCCTGATGTGTACGAATAGGCTGTCTGTGTCTGTCATGACCAGTCTGACCTTGTCGTTCCATTTGGGTTTAGCGTAGTTGTACCAGAAGTCGTATATCTCAACTTTCGACAGGTCCAGGATGGTAGCTCCCAGGTAGATGGGTTTGTCTAGCATCACTACCGATCTTTTCATCCTCACAGAGGTCAGATTTTGCGAGATGATGTTGAAGGACTGGTAGTTCGTCTTTCTGGCCAGATTGTTAATTTGCTTCTTCGAAGTGGCCAATCGGACATCCACACGGTTTCGAACGTTTTCCATTGTTTTACCGAATACCGCATTGTTCATAAGCTTGAAGAAGTTCTTTTCGGATTTGCTTTTTGCCTTCTTGCGTTCCTCCGTGTTTTTTTCGATGTAGGGCTTTAGCCAGTCTTCCTCGTCGAATTCTATTCCACGGTGTATCTTCTTGAGTTTCAGCCCGAGCTTGAGGTAGAACTTTAGGGTTTTGTGGTGGATGACGCACCTTTCCTTATCGTTAAGGTTACATATTAGCTTATCGACTTTTCCGATCTTCATCCTTTCGGGTGCTAGGGGATAATCGTTGTGAAGACTGTGGAGGCTGTCCGGATATTCCAGGTCGACTTCCAGAAAGCATGGGTAGTCACGCCATTTTTCGAATTGGTCTTCCGTCATCCATTAAAAGTTCTGAACTGGAAGGGGTTTTGACATGGCAGATCCGTAGAGGTTGTTAGCATCCCAGCAGCGGAAGTAGCTTTTCTCTTTGTTCGGATTGTAGTCCTTTAGGTGTGGGTTGTTTGCTTTGGCCGTATCTCGTTACGGCCATGCATATTCCACCACGTATGCCCTTTTCGATCATAAGGTACATATCCGGATCGGTTATTTTGTCTAGTTTTACTCTGGTGAACTTTAATGCTGCGTCAAGAGACAGTCCGGGGCTGTGTAGTACCATAGCGGATTTAAACCGTAGGTTTTCTTAGCCATTTTTCGAAAGTCTTCAAATACGTCTGTGAGAATGGTGATGTCCGTTTTGAGGTAGACCTCCGAGTAGTCCCATAGGGTCTCGCACTCGAATCTGTTCCACACCTCATGTGCTCTGGTGTAGTCCTCGTCGGATATTCCTTCTTTTTTTAGCGACGAGAAGAACTTTTCCTTTGGGAGAAGACATGTTTCGTTCAGTTTTTCCATGCTGTCGATGTATTCGTACGGGAATACACCCTTCTGTTTTAGGACCGGATCTTTTCCGACGAATTTCTCCAGATAGTTGAATCCATCCTTGGGTAGGTTTTCTGCTAGTTTTTGTAGGGAGGATTGTAGAAAGTTGGCGCTGTCGATAAATCTCAGGTTGAAGGCTTTTGTTTTGCCCTCTTTGTTTCCTGGGACTCTGGTCTTTAGGACTTCTTTGGAGATGCTCTTGTGTTTTTCCTCGCTTAAGGGGATGCTTGTTACGTTTTCCCCGTTTGCGGCTAGGCTGGGTAGGAAGAGGTGCTCGTCGTAGCCTTCAAGGTTGTGGAATAGTGCCGGAATGAAGTTTGGTTTGCTTGCCCGTAGGTTGCATATGCTGTGTGCTGCTCCCCGGTATTTTCCCGTGAAGTGGCAGTGGTCCCTGACTTTTTGGTATATGCTGTCGCTGTCTGGGGAAGGTAATCCCAAGCACAGGTGACATCTTTCGCTTGAGTTGTAGTCCCTTTCGTCCTCCGGAGACATATTTATTGGAAACTTGGATTTGAAGTGTTTGTCGTACAGCTTCACGACAGCTTCCGACATTGCTTTACAGAATTCCTTCATAAGGTCGTGGTCGTCGTCCTTTTTTCTGATGATAACCATGGTGGGTTCGAACCCCTCGATCTTCATGTTTGATGTGATGACGAATCCGGCCATATTTGGTACGTGTACTTTTCTAAACCTTTTTCTTGTGCCTTGTCCGACTTTTTTGTTTTCCCAATGTTCGTCCGGAATATCCATGATCATACATTCGGTGTCGGCTTGTATTGAGAATGGTACGTCCGTGGTGTGTTTGTGGTTTTTAAACGTTATTATTGGTTTTTCCTCCTGTTTCTTCCCGTTTGCCTTTGTATCGCCTACTGCAACCGGAAATATTGTTCGCTGTCGACCTCTTTCACAACAATCCTTGGTGTGACTATTCATCAGTTGTTCTGTTCCAAAATGATTTAGACAGTACGGACAGAAATGTTCTGATTTACCATTCCCACTTACCTGACTGGAGAGGAGTCGGCTTAGGCACTTTATGGTGCTAAAGTGGTCGTCATGCCAAAAGAGGTTGATGACCTTTTCGTACTCCTCGGTCAGTTCTGTTAGCAGCTGGACGTATTTTGCTGCTATCAGGCGGTCACCATCTGGGTCTGTTTCCATGATCTCCTCTATACCGAAAACGTTAACCCCAATATTATTATTTTCCGAGAATATTTTTACGTCCTTAACAGCAACCGGAAATGTTAGTCCTTCCCAGTTGTAGTTTTCGGTTTGTTCCTTGAGAAGTTTGCTGACAACGTTTGCTTTCTTCTCTACTGGGTGTAGGGCACGTGTGACCACGTACTTGAAGCACATGTCGTCTTTGTTCTTTATGTTGATGACCGTTTTCTTACTAGTAATGAATTTAGGGAGTTCGGAAAATCCGGCTCCCCTCACGATCTGGTACTTTGTGACCTTTATAATCATTTTGACGGTTTTCTTTAGGGTCCATCCCGATCCGTTCTTCTGGTATTCGGATATATCCTTCGAGATTTTTTCGGTCGCTTCGTCGTACTTCTCTGATGTGTTGGTTGTGGGAAAAATGCTGGATGTGAAGCTACTTGGGTAGTAGGTGTCCGTAGTGACTTCTCCTGTAATGGGATCCGTTTTTTCCATAATGCATTCTAGTCTGATCTGTACCTTTATGGGCTTTTTCAGGGAATCAATTAGTTTTAGGACTTCCTCCTTTGATAGGGATAGGACCTGTTTGAGGGTTAATGGGGCGGTTACCGGGATTGTGTACTCACTTACCGTTTTACCGTGTGCATGTTTGATATCTGTGATTGTCGGGGTAAAACTTAGTCTGCTTCGCTGGTTGCGGATTTTGTTTAGTTTGTCCTCAAGTTTTAGCTGGACTTTGGCGAATTTCTTCTTACCCTTCCACTTACCCTCTGCGATCCTACGGTTTTCCTCGGCCCGTCTTTCTCGGGCCTTTGCATTTCGTAGCAACCGCTGGGTCTCCTTCTTCCACTTTTGGGCCTTGGCTTTCCAGTCCGTAACTTCCTTTCGGCGTCTTTTCTCTTCTTTGGCGATGTCGCTCTTCCATTTCTTCGCGTCTCTTATTTCCCTTTTCGCGTTGGCCTCGGTTTGCTTTCTTCGTTTCTGGAACTGTCTTGCTGCCGATTTGACTTCCTTTCCGACTATTTTCCTCTTCTCCTTCCTGATCAGTTCGTCGAAGCGGTTGTTAATTTTCCCTTCTATTTCTAGGCCCCTCTCCCAGGCCTTTTCCATAACGTCGGTTCTCATTCGTTCAATGGATGCGAATTTTTTGTCCGAAATTGGAGCATTTTGTCCGGTAGACTCCATTGCTTTTATTATATAGCAAAACTTATCTATAAGGTGGTTTTAAGGTTGATTCTGTTTTTCAGACCTATAAGGTTTGAAAAAGCAATGGAGTTCGCAAAATGTCCACGGAATCGGACGTATAGGAAGGTGTCCTTTTATTAAATAAAATTTATTTTGTAAAAGTTGATTCTGTTTTTCAGACCTATAAGGTTTGAAAAAGCAATGGAATTCGCAAAATGTCCACGGAATCGGACGTATAGGAAGGTGTCCTTTTATTATATAAAATTAATTTTGTAAAAGTTGATTCTGTTTGTAAGACATAGTGTCCGCACCTGCGTCCTATAATTTGAAAAAACCCGCCAGGTCACTACCTGGCTAGATTTTAGCACGAAAACGTATGAAAATGCATGGAAACACCCTATTTTATGGTAAAAGCACTGTTTTTAGGCTGAAGACGCCATGTCACTACCTGGGGAACTTTAGGCCTCCTTGGCAAGTAGAACGTTCTTCATGCCGATCCTTACGGGTGTGTCTACATCCGGACCGTTCTCTTCGAGATGCTTGATGTGCATGAACCAATTGTTGTCGTCTTCCTCCCTTTGCGCTTTTCTTTCCTCTTCCGTGTAGTTATCCCGTGCGGCCTTACACTGCACCTGCCACTCCTAAAAAGCGATAGGGCTACGCTTCCCTGGAGCCAGTCGTCTACGAATCCCGTAATTTCCCCGAGCTGTACTGTGTCCTCCGAACTTTCAAACCGGCAGTTTTCTATCCCGATGTTGTACGGTAGTTCGACCAGAACGTATATACCCTTTGGGTCCCTGTGGTAGTCGAGTGCGCATACGATTCCTGCGTCTTTTCCCATCCACCCTTCCCCAAACTTGACCTTCTTTTCCACACTGTGGTCGGGTATGCTTACGTCTGTAAAGGCTAACGTCATGTCCTCATAGTTTGTGTTTTCACACATATTCATGATGCGACTCATTTTTTCCGCACAGTAAAAGTAAAGTTTGAACATTCCGCTTGTCCTGACCATGGTGGGTCTTGAATTTAGAACTGTCATGGTTCCCTTGTTTATATGTAGGAAGTCTTGTCTATGTACTGTTGATTCTAAATTTGAGGTACTTCTGACCAGACTTAAGATTACTCACAAGTTAACTCAGATCTACTTGCAAGTTAACTCAGATCTACTCGTGAGATACTTTTGACTAGATTTAAGATTACTCTTGACTAACTTTTGACTAGATTTAATTTAAGATTACTCGAAAGTTAGTTAAATCCTACTGTAAATAAAAAAGGAACTATGTCAGAAGTAAACCCAGATACAACAGCAGTACCCCTCACAAATCCGGTAAAAACCCACGTCAAGGATTCCAGGAGGGTGGAGGCGGGGCGTAGGCTTGCTATGATCAGTAAGGAAGCGAAAGCAAGGAAGAAAGCACGGCTTGAAGCTATCATGGAAGATGAGGAGAACGTTCTGACAGAAGAATCCAAAAATGATGGGTCAATAGTCACCTTAGAAAGAGTCGGCCTGGTAGTAGGTATTGCCGTAGGCCTCGGGTCCCTTTACTTCATGTGGCACAGTAGTCTGAAAAAGGACGAGAATCCTAAGGGAAATGAGATTGTAGAGGAGCCGGAACCCGTTGTTATCGTACCAAGGGGTCCAGACTTGTTTGACTGAAAGGAGAAATAGTTCTACTATAATAAAACATAATGACCGACACAAAGAAGGAAGTGATCAACGAACTGTACGATGCGGCACTATTGACAACAGGAGTCGTAGGGGTATCCTACCTTGCTAAAACGGTTGCCGAAAAAGCCTCGGTGCACCGATGACCCTAGAAGGAGCGGCAAAGCTTGCCGTTGCCGTAGCCGGAAGCGCATTCACCATAGGGTACCTTAAGGATAAGGCATACATGCCAAAAATAATTGACAAATAAAGAATGACAACTATCGTGGTCGGAGGACTCTTTAATGCCGTGGCCTTTGCCGGGGCCGGCTTCCTATTCTTCAGGTTGAATAGACAGGGCTACAAGGAAGAGGTAAAAAGACACAACCAAGCCTTACAAAAGCTTGCAAAAGCCAAGGAGAAGTTTTACGAATCCGAAGTGAAGCGTAGGAACGACGAGGCAAGACGGAGGGCTGAAATCCTGGATGCTAACAAGGATATCGAGGAAACAAACAGGGCACTGGAAGACCTGAGGGACTACACGAGGCTTATGGATTGTACGGCATCCCAACGCAGACCGAAATTGGAGGACTACTACCAACCATCGGACAAAATGAAAAGATACGCAATGCTGACAATGCTGACGGTGGGCGTCCTTGGGGTTGAGGGAGCCTACGGATTAGCACGAATATTTTAAATCTTACGAAAAAATTTTAAAATCTTATGTTGTCAAGAGGAAGCAATTTACGGCTGTAGCTTTTGTTCTGTTGGTTACGTTTCCCACAGAATCTGTGTCCTTAAATTGAACCCCCTGGATCTGGATGTTTGTGCTGGTAACTATGAATGAAAAGGATGTCCGGATAATTTTACCCCTCTGGTCAACTGTAAATATAACGGTCGTCCCCCTACCCGTTTAGTAGAATCCGTACAGAGGGGATGAGCTCGAATAATTTATTTCATTACCACTGACACCGAATACCATAAATTTTGCATTCTTCTTATCGGTGTCTGTAATGGAAGGTGTTTGAAGAAATCCGGGTGGATACCCTGGTATTTGGGAAAAGTCGTACTGTACCGAATTTTTTCCCGAGGCTATTCAACCTTACGATGTCGTTTGCATGTTTAACAACTTCTGCCGTGTTTCCCTGCTGTGCCTTTTCAACTAGTGCTAATTTCTCCCTTAGGATATCCAGATTTTCTGCCGTTGTATCAAAGTAATCGTATCCGAATAAGATGCTCATTTTATTTAACGTCTAAATACTAGGTGTGCAAGTCCAAAGGATGCTACTGCCGCTGCCCCAACAGCAATATTCTGAGTATCAGACTTCTGCCTTAATTCCTGATGTTTGAAATCCTCCACACCAGGAACCGGTGTAATGTCATGGCTTTCGTCTATATTATTCGTGGGGGTAGGAACGGGATTACTTGTATAATTCACCTTCTCATTCTTCCCGAACGTCATCCCGTTTTTAGCTATCGTTAAGACATTGCTGAATCCTGGAATAGGTTTCACTAAAATCCTCAGGTCCGAAGGAATAAGTATCATACCAGGCATAACTGCAAAATTTAGGACGACGTGTGTATTGGCAATAGCCGTCCTCATGTTGGAAATGCTAACTGTCACATCGTCCTGTATAATCGTATCTTTTACCACCTTCCGGAAAACCTCCTGTGTCTGCAAACTCTTTGCACCCTGACCTGTGATACTCCATCGGGTTTTAGCCTGTGCCCCCAATACGGAATACACAAACGCCTCGATGGACTGCTGGAATAATTTTTGTCCAACTTTGGTAAGTCCCCGGGATGTTCTTGGAATTAAGGTCTTATAATCATTTTCAACGTCGAAGGGTGATCTACCAGTCAGATACTCATATTCCATAAATCTGCCTGCGTACTTCGTTTGGTGATACTTCTGCGGCCGTATCCTCCTCTGTTCGCTTACGGGTAACCCGTAATACCACGTTCCGAGGTTTGCGTGGGAAGAGACTGTCTTCCTAACCCATGTTTCACGTACAGGCATGTACTTCCTAATGGTTCGTATATCATCTCCTGTAAGATATTGGTCCAGTAGTTTGGGATTACTCATAAACCTAAACAGATGAAGATGAAGGTGGAATCGGACAAGGGAGGTTACTATGTTGGAGTGTGAATTGGAAAAGTTGTCCGTAAGATGATGCTCGGAAATTCCGGATTTAAACATCGCAACATAGCATGCCGCTAGGGAGCAAAAGTAGGAATTGGAATAGTAGTCGAAGAGTACAGTGTTGATAAAGGCTTCGGGGGGTTTTATCATACGATGGTTTAATAGGCTCCAGCTTCGTCAGGAAATTCTCGGTCTCCGTAACATGGACCTTGATGGTATGCACATCCATCTTGAAATCCTTATTTGGGCGGAAGATCGCATCCGGAAGAACACTTCGCCATCCCTCTACCCAGTATAGGTACTTGGTCCACTCCGGATTTGTGCGGAATGTGTCGGATGTAATATCATAGCTTGTAAGATCATCCACCTTATAGAAGATGTCCCTGGAATCCACGGTTCCATCCTTGGCGAAGGTAACCTCAAAGTCGAACTTGGACAAGGTTGCATTGGGATATTGTTTCATGAAGTTTGCTTTCATTTTCCGGATTTCGACGGGTACTGCCGCTTTAACCTTCTCGTAATTCTTTCCGTAGTAGTCCCGAAAGATTTCCTCACTCATCCTTTTATTTGATATAAAGTTCTATCAAGACATCTCCAGGGATGATTCCGCTATTAGATCCAATCTCAAACCGAAATTTCACTGTATTTACCAGCATCCACCCGTACCTGGCTTTCGATGTCGTTGTATTTTGTCGTGGTTCCGAAGAGAGGTCTCGTAACATCGATGGGAAGGGAAGTAATGACAGTACTCCTATTTCCGTACGGTCCGATGTTATGCTCACGATTCACAAGGTTGCAGCTTACTGTGAGGTACCGCAAGCCTTCATGGATGTCTACGGAACGATCGCTAATGCGCGGGGTGTATGTAAAACCATTGGAAGACCGGTAACCAAGAATACTCGTGAGATTCCGAAGTCCTGCGGAATTTGTTCCCTTAGCAAAGTCGATCCTTATCCTTCCATCGGGATATTCCTTAAGTGTTAATCCATTTTCCTCCAACTCTTTCCTAAGCTGCTTAAAGGTCCAGTACCCTTCGTCTATCGTTATCTTCTTCCCATCTACGGAAATGTAGTCATTGAACCCCTTACGAAAATTCTTATACTTCCAGAACACGGCGGAATTCTTTACGTAAAGTTCGGATCCGTGGGTAAGGATCAATGGGTTCTGTAAATCCAGGGTAACCCCTCCGTCTTCAACATAGACCGTTATATTCATGTTTTATTTAAGATAATAAAATGGACTTACCATTAGATGTAGCTCCCCGGAAAATATATTTTAACGTTAACGGTGGGTACATGTCGATGGAAAAGTTATATCAAAGTGCAAAGGAGGAGGGTATAAACGGAGTCAGCCGGAAAAACGTTAAGGATTGATTACAGACACAAAATACCTACATTATTCACAAACCGTCCAGAAAACATTACGGGACCCAAAGAACCTATGTAGACGGACTTGCACAGCAAATTCAAATAGACCTTGTGGATATGAGTAAATTTAGTCACGGGAATAAGGGAAACCGGTGGATCCTAACTGTGTTAGAGGTCCTAAGCCGGTACGCCTTTGCCATCCCCGTATGGAGGAAAAATACCGAAAGCATGACGAAGGCTGTTGAAAATGTGCTCGTACAATTTAAGGAAAGATTTGGCAGGTATCCTAAAACGGCACGGTTTGATTACGGAAAGGAATTCTACAATGTGGGAGTAAAGACGTTGCTAAAAGATCATGATGTTCACTACTTTTCCACAAGAACATTCCGAAAAGCCGCATTCGTCGAAAGATTCAATAGGACCCTAAAAACACGAATGTGGAAATACTTTACGGAAAGTAGGACGAAAGTTTGGGTGGACATCTTACCTGCTCTCGTCAGATCCTATAATAATTCCACACACAGAACAATAGGAATGGGACCGGCGGATGTGAATGAGGAAAATAAGGACGAAGTTTGGACAAGGATTTATGGATATCCACTAAGCAGTTTTCCAAATCCCAAATTCAAGGTTGGGGATCACGTTAGGGTGGAAATTAAACATAAACCTTTGAAAAGGGATACGAACCCAATTTTGACAAC